TCCAGCTAGCTTTGATCCTTGGCTCGTGGCTCTGAATGAAACTTCCCTGGGAGCCACACTCGAATGTGAATTAAACAGATCCACAGCAGCACCAGCCAGCCCTTACATAGATGCATCTATGTAAATTTGTGCTTAAAAAACTCTACATATCCAGATTACAGGAGGGCAGACATTTAAACATAAATGCAAGAACAAGGGCGCAAATTGCCTAAAAATAACATTCATGCTCATGAAAAGGCAGACACTATTAAATCTGCAAAGCGCCAACTGCAACTTTCCAATCCTCATCTTTTAGTAATCGCTTGTTAAAAGACTAAAACAACTTGCAAGGGACAAAACCTCTTCTGCATTCAATACCAATAAAGTAACTATCTGAGACGGGAATTACACATTTAAAATAAAATAAAAAATCAGGTAGAAGCACATGTAGCAGCACAGACCTTCCCTTCCATTGTTCTTCTTAGAAACCAGACTGATGGGGCATATAGCAGGTGGATTTTTGAGGATACCTTGTAATGTCTGAATTTTACAGAGTGTTATGTTAAAGTTCAGGGTCACTAACCTGAAAAGAAATGAACCTAAACATTAAAGAACGTAACTAATAAGTTTGAATAATTTACCATCCACTTTTTAGAAAGTAAAACCCATTACTTGTAGGTAGTTACCTTGTGAATTCTGGAAAATATGCTTAAGTTTGGAACATGTACCTTGTTACAAATCATCTCATAATAAATTAAAGACCTTAAGAGTACCCTTTGAGCCCCAGAAAACAGTCTATACAGAAGGCTCTGTTTGGTAGTTGGTTAAAATTTACACTGAGCCTGGTTCTGCTGGAGGTTTTTTTTACTGTCACAACGGACTTTTCATCTCCACTGTCGCTACAAGCATGGATGATGCCGGCGTTCGAGTCAATGAGTCGATGCAATCAGCTGGTTTTCCTTAGATAGAAAGCTTTAGACCAATCTAACTGTATCAGCTGGTTGAATCGTCTTTGTAAAGTGCCTTGAGATGACATGTTGAATTGGAGCTATAAGGTTGCAAGCCTCCTTGTGATACAGGGTACACTTTGTAAGTTTCAAAATCTAAACAAAAAGTTGCAGCCAAAAGCTCTAAGTTCCTGAAAAATTAGATACAAGCCTTCAGATAATTACAAGTAATGTTAACCAGAGAGGTAAAATGGAATGATCAGCATGACCTAAAAAGTACAATAAAATAAGCTACAGCTACAGCTAATAACTACAGACAATAGCCGTTTTATGAAAAAGCATGCAGTAAGTTGTCATAAAACAGCCAAATAGATGAAACGTATGACAAGATAAAGTCTGAGCTGCATTATTGATTTGGATGTCAATGTTATGACTTAGAAAAGTTAAACCTAAATATAAGTTTGATCAGCTTGATTCAGTTAATTTTACCAGTAAAAAAAAATTTGGTAACAGTAACATTCTTTCTCCTTTACACTATATCATATCAACAAAACAAACCTAGCTACGTAGCAGCTCCCTCATGTCTTTCAGCATTAAGCAGCAGTATCTTTGCAACAGTCAAAACTATTGATTTACTATCAACGTGGCCAGAGTAGGACATGAAGGGTCGAGGCCCTTAGTGCATAAATATTACATTTGGGCCTAGTTTTACAGCAGACCATCATTTCCGGACATGGAGCTGCCATGTCAGCCTGACACTGTTGCAAACACTTGAATTCCTCATTGTAAATCAAAGAATGTTTTCCAATGTAAGATGAAGAGTGGGTGCTGCTGTATCTTTGCTATGTGTATGTGTGCTCAATATTGAAGTTCCATAAAATATGTATGAAGTATGTTTGAACCTTCCCTGCTCCCCTATAGGGTAGTGGCAAGGTCCTTCAAATCCACATGAGCTAACACGAGCACCAACACTCGGAAAGATATAATGTGGCACCCTGGCCTTACACTGATTAATGTCTGTCCTTCAGAACCCAAACTGCAACAGCATAGAGGGATACACTGTGAAAGAGAGGACAGACGAAGTGAGCAAGACAGAGGATTTGAGAGGGATAAACAGAGGGAGGAAGAAGAGAAAACATGTAGGGTGTAGGCAGAATAAGTGATGCAACCGAGTTAAAAACAGAAAAGGTGCTCGAGAGAAGACTAGAAATATGTGCCTTTCAAAGTGAAAGGCGGCTTTGATGAAACGACTTTAATTCAATAAAATTATATTTCTGAGCACTGATGGATATAAAAATCCTTTTATATTTTTTTCCTAGCTTCAAGTGATTACAGTTAAATCAAACTTTGCACGAAAAACACAAATTTAACAACTAGCACTTGCCTGCAATTAATAGTAAGTAATAAATAGAGTAAATGAACACAAAGTAAAGACAGATAAAACATTTGTAACAAGGAATATGTTGCTAATAAAAGTTAACATATGACCTCTCTTTTGAACATCGCTTACTGTTAAATTGAAGTTAAAAACGTAATTTCAAACATAAGCTACAATGGCTTCTATTGGCTACAGACAATTTTGAATTCTTGATTACTGAAATAATTAAAATTGTTGATTACATTACGCTTTTAATAAAACAAGGTTCTTTTTAATGATTTTTTGTATTGCTTTATTTTGTGTTTACTTGATTTTAAGCCCCTCCTTCTGTTTGTCAACTCTGAGAACTTGTAAAGTTCAAAGAACCTAAAGTTTAAAGAACCTACATATTACTTTAAATCTTTCAGTCATAGTAAAGAACATTCTTTGATCTGAATATGTCAACCATAAAATAAAGCTACAATGAGATGTTCAAGAAATCTTTAGAGAGTAGGCAACCATTTTTTAATCAAGGATTGGCTTTTACACTTCCACCAGCTAGTGACAAGAAAATAATTAGTGTATAAGTAAAAATGGTTTTGTTCAGGCTCTAGTAGCTTTTATATTTGTATTTTTTGAAAGTATGCAGAGAGGAAATGGGATTAGATAGAGGGGGACGACATGTGGCAAAGATCAACAGGGCAAGACTCAAACCTAAGACAGCGGTTTAGAGGACTAAGCCTTTGCACATGGGTCACGCCTCGTTACTGTAAATGCGTTAGTGTTAAACAGTGGGGTCCAAACCATTTGCATCATCAACCTAGGCACTTGAAGGGTACAAAAATACTTTTTTTTTTTAAACTAAAAGGAACAATTAGAGATTTGACCATTAGGAGGGATGTTGATCACTGTCTGTAGACCAAAACAAGATGTGTGACAATTAATGCATCTCTCTACCTCTGCTGCACCTGTGGCACTGATTTGACAATCCCTTTTCCCTTTCCTTCTCACACCTCACTTGCATGTTCAAATTTGCAAAGAATGAATACACAGAAAAACAGCATCATCTTTCAGAGGAACATGTCTAATGAGGACGTCATAGATAATATTATGATGCCATTAGCAAGAGAAGTTTATTTTGACAAAATTATTGTTTTCAGGTGAATATTTCCATCATCTGGACACTCTCTTTGGCATTTCACTCCCTCTATATGCTGCTCTGGCAGTGACATTTTATGGGCAGGGAGGAGCTAAGCTCTGAGTGGCAGCCAGTCACAAGGACACCCATGCAAGCGTGGCCGACACGGCTTGTAAACAAGAGACTCCAGAACAACAGAGTTATGGTGCGTGAACATATTCCATCTAAAGAGATACCTTTAGCTCTTCAAAACATTTTTTTTTCTCACAAAAAAATAAAATAAAACTATTGCTTATTGATCCTTAATTTTTTGTATGCATTTTCTGTCTAGTATTCTTTATCTTCTGACAACGAAGTAAACACCAATATTTTTCAACAACAAACAATATACAGTGTAGTGAGATTTAAAAAGAAATTGATGAGTATTTAATATAGATCCAAATGATAAAAGGGAGCTCAAAATTTTACCATTTATAAACAAATTCTGTATTTGTGAAAGTGACTATTTTCTGTTTTCTTTGTAGTTTGTTTGTGATTTTCTAGCAAAATGAAAAGGATATGGTCATTTTGGACACACAAGCCAAAATGTCTGACTCCGATATTGTAAAATGTTGTTTGATGAGTTCATGGATCCTTTATTTTTAAGTCTGAAAAACTCTATTCCAACACTTTCAATGGACTACACATTCACACAGTAGGTCTTATCAGGACATCAGCTCAGTAACACAGCTTAAAAAGAGTGAGGATAAAAAAAATAAAAATCCAACCCACACAGACAGCATTGAGCACAGAGACATGACATCATATTTTTTGTGAGTATCTGCAAATAGTGTGGGCAGGTGTGCGCAAGCAGCTTGTCTGTCTCAGCCTGATTACTACACTGTGAGAGCCGACACACACAGAGAAAGCAAAGAATGGTGTTTGTGTGTGTCTGAGTTTGTCACTTAAAACTTGAGGCGATCTAAAGGAATCTTTTTCACATACCAATATGCACCCTCTTATCTCTGCCCGTGCTTTTCCAGCTCAGCTGCCTTTGAAATTTCCTTGTTTCCCCTCTCTCTGTCTATCTGCGGATTGTACCATTCTTCTGTTTTCTGGCTTTTGTCTGGCTGCCATGCCCTGTGAGCACTGTTTAATTCTACCCCCTAATACCGCCTCAAGATTACAAAGAGGTAAAGAGCTGGTGGAGGGGTGAGCCATGTAAGAAGAGGGCAGAGGCACTTCATTAATCAATCAACCAGCTTTGAAAATTTACCTAATTAAGGGCTAATTACACATCCAGGCGCAGTGCCAGCTGGCCTCCCATCTACCTTCTCCAGTATGACCCCTGCAGCCCCCCGAAACGATGGTGGAGGAAAACACCCCTTCCTCATTCCCTTCTGTTTGCTATATTCCTTATTAGTCGTTTTATTCATGCATATGCTTATCCATTTGTGTTTTTCATGCTCCAGAGAAACAACAGAAGAGAGCTAATAATTCAAACGACACAGCAGGTAAGATGCCAGCCACTCTCACCCCCGTCTGACTTTTATCTCATACCATATGGAGGTCTTTTCGATTACAATTTGTGTAGCCTTACCGGAAAAATATCTGAAGTCACCGCAGAGTTGTGGAGGCTCTCTAAGGTCCTGGTCTCTTTCCATTCATGTCTGGTGCGATTCTCCTCTTGGACCTCGAGGTTGACTTTACGGGACAGACTAGCTCGCCAGGCCCGCTGGATGCTACGAACATGAAATAAGGGTTATAATTACAACAGGTTACTGTATTTCAAATGTCATTGTGTGGATCTAAATCTAACACCCTATTTAGTAGGTTCTTCAGATACAGATGCTTAAATCCTTGGCCTACACTGCAAAAACGACCTCAACATGAGTAAAAATGTCTTAAATTAAGAGATATACCCTTAATTTGAGCAGGTAAATAAGATGATTTGCCAATGGAATGAGTATATTTACTCCTAAAATAAGGTATCTACGTAGATATTATGCACTTGAAATAAGACAATGCCAATGTTTTTTACTATTTTAAGTGTAAATTGTCTTGTTCCATTGGCAAAGTGTCTCACTTAAATACTTAATTCAAGAAAAAAATGCACTTAATAAATAAAAAAGACTTATTTAGATTTAATTTTTTTGCAGTGTATAATTTCTAACCAATATTTCCTTTAAAGCGTTGCAAATTGTTTTGTGCGATCGACCAGCACAAAACAAAGAATGACTCTTAAGCTTTAGATTTTAATCTTTTTTTGTTAAACGAATTAACATATGTTTTGTTGAAAGCTACTTTTGCACAGACCACCACACTGCCTCTCTGTGTTTCACTTCTGCAGCTACATAATATGAGCAGTTTAGTATTCCATTTATCCTTCCTATTTCTATCTTCTTATTCTACCTGTATTGCAAAGGTTTAGAAAGCTTTCAGAAGCTCCAGTGCAAGAGGAATTGATTTCAGATTACTGGACAATCAAATGATCTGAGCCAATGATTAATCACTGTATCTGTATCACTGTATCTATCTAAATATTACTGCACTAAAAATAGACATTTTTGTCTGGAAGTAAATTTTTACTGCCAGAGTCCATCTTTCCTACTTCTATTCATGAACACCTTAATGTAAAACTATTAATATTCAACAATCTAAGTTGAATATAAATCAAAATGGTAAATATCTAAATAATCATAGGGAAAATTATTTGTCTAAAAAAGTAAATAGAAAGAGGCATAAATACATGTTTTATTCACATTATTGGAAAAAAAAACAACAACATAGTATCCAGATAAAGAAAATAAAACAAAAAAACAAGCACAAAAAAAATTATAATAATACATAAAATAAATAATTTAAAGTGAAAATTATTATTACTAAAATGTCTAAATCTTTCATATCCAGCGGATCATCTTAGATTTTTGGTTATATTTTATAAAGCCTGCAACTTTTGTCCTATGTTTTTTCAAACATTTTTCTTTTTGCTTTTAAAACATGTTGTTCTTTCCCTTTCCTCCCAAAAATCACTAAATTCACTTTAAACTTAAACCTTTTATAAGTTATATTTCAGATAAAACAACAAACAAAAATGACTATTTACATCACTTACAGAGCTAAAGTAGCAGGATTTCTTTTCACGACAGCAGCTGTTTTTCTATTCCAAAAATACAAATAACAAATGTACTGTAGGAAATACACATTAAATAATTTGTCTTAATATTTTTCTTTGATAGTTTTCTTTGATTTACATCCACTTCTCTTATCTCAAGCTAGTTATGATGCTATAGGATTAATCTAATTGAGGACATAGTGACCACTTTCTTTTCGATTTAATTTTTGATTATCATACTCCATGAATATGCCACATAAGGAAAATGCAGAGTGAAGAGTCAATACAAAATATTAATTATAGCTACTGCTACAAACATAGTGTTGTATCCGTTTCATAAATCACATTATATATATTTTTATATGCAATAACAATAAAGGCTTCTAATCTGTTTTCCCTTTTCATAGCTGTTATCCCTCACACAGGGCCTCTGTTTAGATTCATTCAATTCCCAGGGCAACGACTTAGTTGAGCTATTCATCTCATTAATTCTGTGCTCTCTATGCTTGCCCCTGCCCATAAAAACACTCCATTGGGAAAATATGATGTACAGTGTATGTTGGGTACAAAGAATGTATTTACAATATGTGAAAAGACTAGCCAAAATCACCTTTATAAACATACAAGAAAATCTGTCTACTTAGGAGCAAAATATATTTAAAAAAAGGACCCAAACACAGATGGGAATAAGGTAAATCCTTAAAGAAAGTAAAGGTTTGATCAAAACACAATCCTTATACATACATACAAAAAATGTTGTGAGACCATGTTGTGAATAAATGGGAAAATCAAACAGGACAATAAAATAAGAAATAAAGAAGATTGGAAAAAAAGAAAGAAAAATTCGCAAAATTAACTGAATGAGGTTAGTTGTGGGGGAGCATGAAATTTGGCTCCTCACTTAATGCTATTAAACGTCTTGTGGGTAAGCTTGTAGGTAATCTACAAGATGTCTTGTAGTTTAATAGGTCTTGTTGGTAAACTACAAGTGAACACTAACAATAATATGCTTAGAACAATATACTGATGCAAAATGAGCAATATAAATTATCCATCCATCCATCCATCCATCCATCCATCCATCCATCCATGGAATTGATAAGATGTTCACGATTCCGATTCTCTTATCGATTCTGTGAAACAGTGAACTTGGTAAGTGCATAGTGACATCAGTTTCCTTCGCCTGGGACATTCTATTTCTGCCTGCATCGGTGAAAACAGAAGGCAGTGACCGGGAGCTGCCAGCCTCTGAGCCAGCCAGGCTACCCGTCTCGTCACAGTCATCTAAATCTAATGGAGAAGGCATCCGTTTAATGAAAAAGCATTACTGTACAATTTCGGGAAATAAACTCATCTCCCCCTGATTTAAATAAACAAGTGTCACCTTTCTACCACTCCCTGAACTGCGGAGCAACTTCGTAGCGTGTTTAATAATTCCAAAGAGAGGTAGGAAACTGGTTTATTTCCAGAAATGGCATTCGATTTACTAGGAACCACATTAAGCACAGCCAGTGGTATAAAACTAGCTACTTACCACCAGAGTTGCCTTCCATGCTGGTCGTAACTTTAGCTTCTGTCCGGAAGCATCAAAAACACGACATTTGTTAAAATGTATGCCATGTTGTGTGCGCAGGTGTTTCTGCATGTTGGATGTATTTCCTCTCGCGGATGCAATTGCCACTTTGCAATGATTGCAAAGCGCCTTGTTGCCATATTTTTCTTCCTTAAAATTAAGCCAATCTTTCGATCGCTTTGACGCTTTTGTTTTGCTTTTCTAGACTTACACCTGGTCACGTTGTACTTCCTTACTGAATGCTATGTGGGTAACTTGCGTAAAACACGTCACTTAAGTCATGCTGCCCAGCGCTAGGCACTGGTGCTGCCTGGAACCGCTAAGAGAATCGTTAAGCAAGTTGTCAAACGGTGCCATGTAATTGGAACACACGGAGTCGGTTCTGGATTCCGATCCATCCCTCCATCCATCCATCCCTCCATCCATCCCTCCATCCATCCATCTTCTCCTGCTTATTATTCAGGGTAATGGTGGGGCTGGGCCTATCTCCATTAGTCTATGGGTGAAAGCAGGATACACCTGGACAGGTTGCATGTCTGTCGCAGGGCACATGTAAATTATGTTAAGGTGAAAAATTTTTTTTTTATAGATTCCCAAACTAAAATACTAATTAAATTATGTATTCCATTTTTAACTCTTCCTAACATTTTGTGTTTTTTTTCTTTCCAACTCACCTTAACAGTTTGTGTCTGTTCATTTGTTTCTGTCATATTTTTTTGTGTTATTGGACTTTTGTTGTTCGACCCTTAATCACTTCTATGACATCTCTCCATCTGCTACGCCTCACAACTCAAAAAACAGTTGTTACTCAAAATATCACTTTTTTGTCTTGTTCATCCATCTGGTCTCCTTAAATCCAGAGCTCACAATTTAGAGTAGGATCACTTACCCACTCACCTCCAGTAGAGCAGAGAGACAGCGGAACTGAATGGAACGAATTGAATTAAGCCATAATTCCCTGCTCTAAAACCAATACCAGTGCTTTGTCCAGTCCAACTTCTTTCATTGCTGTCTCCTTAGAATTTCTTTCCCTCCATTCTCCTCCTCATCAGGCTCTTCTTCAGACAGTTTCTCTTAACCTATTTGTTTTTCTTTAGCTTTTCTCATCTTTCTACACCCAGTTTCTATCACTTCTTCACATTAGTTTTAAAATTGTTTTATTTTGTGGATTAGGAGAACAAGGCAATGATTAAAGGTTGTTTCCTATGAAGTTGTTCACACATATTTAGGTCAAATTACAAAATTCTACAAAGGTCAATGTACTTAATATTACTATAACCATGGAATCCAAACCTGATTACTGCAGGGAAAAAAAAGTATTAAAGCCACACAAATATCAATCTCATAGTGCTTGAAGGGCAATGATAATTTGAGTTTGAAACTCAAAATATAAATTTCATACCCAGAGGGAAGTTTTACTGTTCAAAGATTGCCTATTTGAGTTTCTCATCTCAATCTTGTTTTGGTTTCTATTTTGTCTCAGATATTTCTCCTAGAATTCACTAGGAGAAATAAGGTGAGATGTTAACTTTACAATACAGGAATCATATTTTAGATACCTGGCAAATAATTAATTTAAACATGCACATTCATTCATCCATTCACCACTCACACAGCATCTTGGTAAGCCACATCTGCCCTGGAGCTCACAGACAGAGGCAAAGCTGCCATGTAAAGGAGCCAACGAACTTTCAGACCACCATCAGTTCTCTTAACATACACAACAGAATGACATTGAAAGCCAAAGCTGGGGCTTGAACCCACAACCCTCCGGGGTAATGCAGGGCAAACTCCTGCATTCGATGCCACTTTCACCCAACTGAGTGACAGTAAAAGAAAAAGGTCAAAATGTAAATCGACAGGTGCCTCCACTTTGGTCATCTCTTTTTAGCCAGGAACTTCGAATGCATTT